TTAACTAAAAAATTTTAAAAATAAGTGAAGCACTAATAAATTTTAAATAGTGATCTTATAAATTATTATTATTTTTTTTTATAAATCTAAAGATCTCATTCTAGTATGAATTACATAAAGAGCCAAATATAAATGCGCGTATGCTATGTGTTGAGTGATAAATGTGAGTTTTCTTATAATATTGAAATTACTAAACATAACACTTAAAAAAACTACTTAATATACTTTTTTTTTTTTTTTTCAAATGTAACACTCCAATGAATTTTTTTTTTCAAATGTAACACTTCAATGAACACTACCAAAACGTAATATTCGAATGTAATACACAAAAAAATTTCCTAATATATTTTTCTCAAACGTAACAACATAACATTTTAAAAAAATTCCTTAGTGAATTTTTTAGAATTTTTTTCAAACGTAACATTCCAATGCAACACACTAAAAAACTCTTTAGTGTACTTTTCTCATATGTAACACTCCAATGTAACACACTAAAAACTCCTTAGTGTATTTTTTTCAAACGTAACAACATAACATTCAAAAAAAACTTTTTATTATATTTTTTCCAAACGTAACACTCCAATTAATGTAACACACTAAACAAATTTCTTAATATATTTTTCTTAAACGTAACAACGTAACATTCTAAAGAAAAAAAAATGGTGTATTTTTTCCAAATATAATACTCCAATTAATATAACACACAACTCCTTAGTGTACTTTTCTAAATATAGCACTCTAATGTAATACTCCAATGTAATACCAATAACCAGACTAGAAATGTAGATTTCCACGATTGATAACTAACATTTCAACTACCAATCCCCCAAAAGAATCTTTCATGCCTCACTTTTTCATTTCTATCTCAAAAACGAATCAGAAAATTAGAAAAATGAATCATAAAAATATAGGGTAAACTACCAATAAGTCTTAATAGTTAGACTTAATTCCCATAAAGTCCTATTGAAAATAAATCTTGATAAAATTGTCGCTAAAAATATTTCTTTGTGACAATTTTTTACATACGTCGCTAAAAATTGACAATTAGTGGCTTTTTTGTCATAATTTTTATAAATTGTTGCTAAAACTTACCATTAATGACATTTTTTATGACAAATTTTTCTCATAGAACCTATTAGACAGTAAATCCACTTTTTAAGACTTACATGTAAGTTTCCTAAAAATGTATTCACTTAAATTGAAATAGCACCAAATCAAATAAATACAATTTTTCAAAACAAAAAGGACTAATTGATTTATAAAAAAATACTTTTAAAACTAAATAGATCAACATTCTCCCTATGGGATTTATGGATATATTTTTCAAAAAAATTTACAAAATTTAAAAATTATTAAGCTAATTAAAAATTTAATAAAAAATATTATTCTTATACATTAGTCCTTTATGTTTTTTTTTTCTTTTTTATAAAATTATAAAAATACTCTTAAACACATTATTAATTTTTTTTTTTTTGCATCTTATAAAAAGGTAAAAAATTTAAAAATTACTAAAAAAATCAAATGTCAAACGAGTTCATAGATGCATATGATTATTATTATTATTATTTCTACTATGCATTTTTTTTTTCTTTACGTTAATTAAAAATAATTGTTGATGGAGAAAAAGAAGAATATCTACTTTTCATTTGGAAAAGACTAATATACTGTAGATAAAAAGTCGTAAAAAAAAAGGTTAAAAAATTTAAAAATTATATAGCACAAAAATTTAAAGATTCCTTCTTATTTTCTATTTTTACTCATTTTTTCGTTAAAAATATAAGTCATTCCTCAACATTTTACTTTTTTTTTCACATTTTATTTTAATCAAAAAAATTATTTAAAAAATTATTTCTCAAACGAACCTTAATTGTAAATATTATTTGCTCTTTGTATTTAGAAGAAACTGATATATTATATTGGATAATGTTTCAGAGCTCGAATCTTCTTCCCCTAATCCCCCGAATGTCCAAAACGACGTCGTTTTGGGCATTCGGTTTTTTTTTTTTCTTCGTCTTCTTCGTCATGCAGGCTGAAACAAAGAGAGAGGAACGGGAGAGAGAGAGGGAGAGGGAGAGGGAGAGAGAGAGAGAGAGAAGAGGCAAAGATTGATTATCATATCAAAATCCAAAATCCAAAACCCAAATAAAACCCTAGATTTACACACCCTCTTCAAAAAAAAAAAAACCAGCAGAGAGCTGTCTAGATTAGAGAGAGGGGAGGCAAAGATTGAACAATAACAAACCCAATGGAACAATAGCAAAAGAAGGAGTAAAAAAAGGTGAGGATTTAGCCTTTTACCTTGGATCTGTGTATAGAGAGATGAGGAAAACATAAATCAAAAACGGCGTCGTCACAGAATTAGAGAGATTCGGGAGGGGGAGCTTTCGAGCTCACTAGCACGGTCCATATTATATTTTAAGATTTTATTTTCAGCAAATTTTCTCAATGTGCTTTTTTAAAGCCATAAAGTTTTAACCTTTGATGTGTCATTGCTTTCTATCATAAGGTCTGTCAAAAATCAAATTTAAAATAAAATTGATTTGACAATTCATGTAGCAGTAGGGTGAAGTTTATAAGAAATAAAAAGGAGAGGCTTATTATTCCAAAAAAAACGAAAAAAAGAAAAAGAGAGAAGCTTCTTTCTAATTCGCAAACAACTTGAAGGGTGCTGTCTATGGTGGGCGTTGTCTTGGATTCATTTCAGTAATTTAAATTACTAATGTATAAAATTTGTTGAATAAATTGTTTTTATAAAAAATTATGTTAATCGGATATCAATAGTCATTTGATCAGTTCATATTTGTGTCAACAAGTATGATTTTAAAAATAAACTATTTATACAAATGTGATGTAATCAAGTGGTTATCGATATTCAATCAATTTAATTTTTTTACAAAAATGATATACTCAAAAAACTTTATGCGTTCAACGGTTTAGATCATTGAAATAAGACTGAAGTAGAGCCCACTGTGCTCAAACAACACATTCGATTTTGATTGTAGATTAGAGAAGTCTCCCCAATAAAAAAATGGTATGAACCCTGAAACATATTCCGAAAATGAATGCGTAGTGTGGATTATAAATTAGTGGAATATGAATCATGTACAATGATCGTAGACTGTTGGTTCTTTTTTCTAGATAATTTTTCTAGATCTTTAGCATTGGTGAAATAAAAGGAAGGAAAATATTTGAGACTTCAAAAAATATTCATATAATTTGACTCATAATAATGAGACATGTTATGAGTGAATTTTTGTTTTATTTTGTTTTGTTTTGTTTTGTTTTGTTTTGTTTTTGTTTTTTTGTGTTAAAATATTATGAGTGAATAGGAAGATCTAAATTGTGAGTCTTCAATAGTTCTCAATAACTTTTATCTTATATGGCTATATTTGATTGCTAGATTATTTTTGATAGGATTAAATATGATGGAATTATTAAAAGGGTTATCAATGATAAGTTATATCATGAAATTAGATGGGATAAAAAATTTCATATATTATAGGATTATGGATTGGATTGTGGGGATAAGTTATACCATGAGATAATAAATGGGATATGATGTGGATTGTCTCCGGTTGAAATTTCAACAATATCAGACAGTTGAGATCTCTGGCCGATAAGAGACATTAAATAGAATATTTTAACTAGTAAGAATCATTAAACGAACGTAAGAGTCTTCAAAAAAATTCAATTGAGCCATATTTTCATAAACTCTTACTGATAAGCATCTTTGGTTTAATGATTCTTACCGGTTAGAGACCTCAACTATCAAGTTCAACTTTTAACTGGAGACAAGTCAAATCTAATGGGATAAATGATTGGATAGAAAAAATGAGGTATTATATTTGGTTTGAATGAAATAGAATTATATAATTATTTTTAATTGTTGGACGAAGAAAAAAATAATTCGACGAGACATCATTCTTTTAATACCACCCTACACATGGAATAATTTAATCTCTTATTTTTCTTTATTTAATCTTCCATATCAATATTAAAATTGTTTGGAATTTAATACCGTGCAAAACAAATATTAGAATAGACTATTAAGTGAGACTTACGGTTACATTTGTTTCATGGCATTAGCGACCGGAGTGTGGATTAGGTTGGTTGTGAGTCAAACCCACAACATATTTGGTTGTGAAATGAGGGGATGGAGTGGATGGAGTGATACTCCTATCGGATTACTAAGCCTACTAAATGGGTAGATTAGTTTTGCTGAGAAGAATGTGGGGCTGAGAAAATAGTGAGGTGATTAGAGTGTGACCGGTCATCCGTTTGGACGTTCGGTCGGCCAATTAGAATAATGGTCTTCTTTGTTTTTAAGACTTTTTTTAATATAGAAATATTTTTGTTTTATTTTATATAAAAATAATTTAACAATCTTATCACTAATTATTTCTCACAGTGTCATTAAAATAAATATACTATCACTTAATTCTCTCACTAACAACTCTCACATTAATAATCTCTTCACTAACCATTTCTTACTAATCATTTTATTCAATCTAATCAGCCAAACAAATATGACGTGCATGATCCACCTTCAATCCATTCATTCTTATCAAGCAATCAAACACCAAATTATACCGGACTAATAATCCGGTAGGCCTCACATGTTTTCTCTATTTTCAATTCCAGTAACAGAGAAGGAATTAAACATCGCTTATATATCAGCACAACCTCAGGTAATAAATTTAGGCTTTGTTTGGAAAGAACTTATTTAGCTTGATTTTCTGGCAATTTTAGTCTACCTAAAAGAGTTCCGTTTGGAATGAACTTTTAATTTATTTATTTTTTTTTTTGTAATTTTGCGAGAAAAAAATAAAATGATTATAATTTAGATATGATGTTTTATATTATTAATTTCATACCTATTTTGTCTTATAATGGATTAAATTAGTCCTAATCATATTGCCAAATGAGAACTTAATCCAAATCGGGTTACTTTGATACATAGTTGATTATCAAGTCTCACTTGAATACTACTCCTCAAAAAATATTCTAACCATAATAATCAACTTAATCATTTCATAATTGAATCATGACAACTCATCAAGGAAGATATATGCCCTTGTTTAAAAAGATCTTATATTAAAGTTTAAAAAAAGAAACAAGAAAAGAAAAAAAAAGAAAAAGAAAAAGTAAAGGGTAAACAATAACATTCCTAAACATAAGAGAGTTCTGTGATGGTAGTGGCGTTAGCATTATGGCGTCGTTACGTTGCTTCCAAAAAGACTAGTGTGAGATTCCAAATTGGATAAATAACCTCCTTTTTTTCCTCTCCTTTTTCTTTTTGATTTTCTCTTATATATATATATATATATATATTTTTTTTTTTCTCTCTTACCAGCAAAACGGAGTCATTCTCAGTAGTTGTGAATCAACGCCGTCATCACGGCTTGGAGATTGAGGCAGCATCTTTAACGGAACCGTCTCCACTGCCGTTACCCATGGTGGCGGATTGAACGGTCAATACGGAGACGCTAGGGGACGTGGGCCCACCGCCCTCAGCGAAAAGTGGGTGGTTAGTGGCGATGGCATTGCGGGAGTGATAAGTAGCGGTGGAGATGGCAGTGGCGAGAGAGATGGGCATGAGGCAGAGGCCTTTGCCTTGTAGGTACTGCATGGCAGACCCCATATCCTCGTCCATCAACTTCGCCACCTGGTGCTCCATGACCGTTAGACTGTCGTTATTGTTCGACGTTGACGCCGTCTGCGTCCCGTTGCCGCCCCTCCCTCCTCCACTTGCTTGTATACAGTCTCCACCACCTCCCTGCAAGATACATAGTTGTGAGAAATGTTATCTATTATTAAAAGGAAATTACATATCAGTGTAGCTCTCTAAATGTGAGAAATGTTATCTATTATTCGTTATTGTTCGACGTTGACGCCGTCTGCGTCCCGTTGCCGCCCCTCCCTCCTCCACTTGCTTGTATACAGTCTCCACCACCTCCCTGCAAGATACATAGTTGTGAGAAATGTTATCTATTATTAAAAGGAAATTACATATCAGTGTAGCTCTCTAAAATTAATCACAGATAAGTGAAGTTTTTTTATTAATATTAATAATAAAATTTTCAATGATTCTTTTAGAATTCACTGGAAAGTAGTTTTCCCAATCTTTTATCACTGTATCATCCTCATTTATATATATATATATTTTAACGAGGAAAAAAAAGGATGGTTTGAGATGTCACCCCGTAGGGTCAGGTCCTGAGATAGCTGGTTGTCAACCTGATTTAACTCAACTCATAAGAACGAACCCATCACTGAGACATCAGCGGAGCTCAACCATACGCCGCAGACGAGCCTAGGAATCGAGCGAAGTACAGAGCGAGGTCGCCGAAGCGAGCCATTGAAATTACCTATCATTTCGCTCCCCAAGAATCGAACCCGAGTCTCTCCTGTGAAGAAGGATGCTTTCTCCACTACGCCACCACTCTCGGTGGCCATTTATATAGATATTTGTAATTGATCTTTTAATTCAAAGACAATTATCAAGAAAATCAATAATATCATGTCACCTAGTTAGATAATATAAAACAACTAGAAACCGAACAGCACCTCAAGACAAACGTAACTCGTGTACATACATGTGTATTGTATGCATATATAGAGAGAGAAAAACAAAGGAAAAGGGGAAGAGTGGAAAGGGATTGGAATCTAGAAAAGTGGGGACACGCGTGCTCCTTGTTGTTTTAACGTTATGTGCTGATCAGAATTTGCAAAAAACTTTGATGACAGAGAGAGACAGAGAGGATTAGGCGGCTGGGTGGGTTGGGTTGTTTGGTTTCTTCAATATTTCTTTTATTTTTATTTTTAATGCTTTTACATTTCTTGTGTTTCTGTTTCTTTTTTTATGGAAAACTTAAGAGGTTACTTACGAGTAAGACATTACCAAGAAAAAGAGAAAAATGTTCGAAAATGGATTTGCTGCTCATCATAGCAACACGTATACAGCAATTTCTTAGATTGTGCTTGGTTCATGAATTTGGAGATAGATTTAGAAAATTAAAGAGAAAATAAAAAGATAGGTGAAATGAGAGTAAAATATAACTGTATTTCTCACACATCTTTTCATTTTTCTTTTCTAAATCCATCTCCAAATGCATGAAGCAAACACAACTTAAGAAAAGTTCATATGAAATTTGTGTTAGCAATACCATCCTACATTCCACCAAAATAATACAGTGTCACATATGCTCAAGAAAATAATGTCATATTCTATGCATTTAAAATATATATATATATATATATATCTGTACGTAACATAATTTTTTTTTTTTGTATTTGTAAACTTATTCAATCTCACACCTATTTATTTATTTATAATGAACGACAATAATATATAATTATATTATATAATCAAATGAAACTAAACTTTACATTTCAATTAGATGAGATTTTTTTAAATTTTTTTTTATTATTGTTATTGACGTTGTCATTCTGTTCTGTCAAAAACTAAATCAAATTAAAAGAATCCTACAATAATATGTATATATATATTGTTGAAAATTTTAATTTTGAATAACACAAGTCCATACTATTTTTACATTATTGCACATACTTCATACATAAAAGTGGTTACATGTATATAGATGAGATAAGAATGTAATTTACCTCAGAGGACATATCAGCAACAAGAGGACCAACAGCTGCAGCACCCCCCAATCTGCTCATACTCAGAACCTGAACCCACCCACACACACACAGTACCAATGAAATTTTAGAAGCCAAACCTCACCACCATTCAACCACTCTTTTTAAAAACAGGTTTTTTCTCATAAAATTCATAACAATTGGAATCCTTGAAAAATATCTATATTATATAACACAGAATATTTTTCTGTCAGTTGCATATATATATATATATATGCATATATGTAGAGAGAGAGAGAGAGAGAGAGAGAGAGAGAGAGAGAGAGAGATACTTTGACTTGGAGCTGGAGGAATTTAACATAGTCTATGATCTCATCCAGCATTGAAGCCTTGTCTGTCTGTGATTCCAAACCCACCACACACATGTCAACAAATAATACATAATACATTTAATAATAATAAAAACAGTTTAAATTTAACAATTAATTTAAGAATAAATTCTAGTAGAATCATAATTAATTTAAAAATATTAATTACTTAAATTTAAAATAATTATACATTATTTCCATCATTTAAAAAAAGATAAATTATACATACATCTTCTAAGGTTTGCTTAAAATATAAATTGCTTCTGTGATTTAAAAAATTACAAATACTCATTGTCAGAATTTTTTTTTTAATAAAATTAATTAAAAAAAATTAAATTTCTATCTATTTTCTTATACAATGATAAACTTATTTAAACTATTAAGTGAAATAAATTTCTGACATCATTAAAAATTATTAATTGATTTCATAATTTATTAATAAAAAAGATTATTTATTATGAAATTAAAAATTTCAAAGATAAGATATAATTTTTAAAGCCACAAAAGACAAATTGTATATTAAACAAATCTCATAGTTGTAATTTATATTGTTTGGGGTGAACTACAAAAGTACACTTTTTTCTCTATTTTTTTGAGTTCTATCATTTTTTTATTTTTCTGTACATTTTTTCATAAAAAATCAAAAGTAAACTTATTTATATCATTCCAAAAAATAAAGGGTGATGCTACACGCATTAGTTGGTATATTAATTAGTGTACGAACATATCCTATGATATTATCACTTTAAAACTATGGTTACACCCATTATACAAACTATAAAGACTCAAAACCTCTAAAATTATGTCACATTATTTATTAATACATTAATTAATATACCAAGAGCATTCCTAATAGAACCCTTATATCCCCTCCTTACTTATTTTAAAGGGTTTGATGGCCCCTATACACTTCCAACACTCTTAAACACTCCCCTAAAATAGGAATTGCTATATTGCCTCCCTATTTGTAGGAGTCAATGTAAAACTCTTCTTTATATATATATATATATATATTGTTTAGGGACTGTAGTACACATTTATGATTTTTAATTTTTTTAATTTTATAATAAAAATTATATGTTAATAAAATAGAGAAAAAATATGCTTGGTTAGAGTTTTTCAAAAATTCATTTCAGAAAATTCTACTTTCTTGTTTTTCGTTTTTTTTTTGTTTTTACTGATTTTTTTTAATATTTTAAGCAATTTTTTTTTTTACTTTTTAGACATATCTAACATAAATATACTTAAAAGTTAAACAATTTGTGAAAGAAACTTTTTAAAAATTCACTAAATACCACAAATACAAAAAAAAAAAAAAATGAGAATTCCGTACATAATTTGTATTTTTATGTATTTATTAATTTTTAAAAATATTTTTTCACAATTTTTTTTAATTTTTAGATATATCTAAGTAAGGTGCATCTAAAAAAATAAAAAAAAATGTTTAAAATTTTAAAAATAATTACAAATATCCCCCTGAGATTTGAGAAATTACAGATACCCCTAAAGATACTATTTGCATAACAAATTAGGGGGCAAATTGTTATGAAAATATAAATTTCATGAAACAATTTGTTATGAAAATATAAATTTTAGAAATATTTATAATTTCCGAAACCTCAAAAAAATATCCGTAATTTAGCTAAAACTCAAGGGAGGCACATATAAAGAGCATCTCCAATGCACTAGGCATATAATACTTGTTAGTTAAAATGCCTAGTGTGATTCACTTTTTTCAATTCCAATGCACTAGGCATATGATTAGGCATTTTGCCTCAACTCATATTCACTAGCTACATGTAAAACTTTTTAAAAATTCACTAAATACCACAAATACAAAAAAAAAAAATGAGAATTCCGTACATATTTTGTATTTTTATGTATTTATTAATTTTTTAAAATATTTTTTCACAATTTTTTTTTTAATTTTTAGATACATCTAAGTAAGGTGCATCTAAAAAAGTAAAAAAAAAATGTTTAAAATTTTAAAAATACTCACTAAAAACAAAACAAAAAAATATGAAAATTAAAAAACTTAGTTTTCAAAAAACTTAATCCAAAAAACTCAAACCAAACACACTGATAAAGTTTGTTAATAGAATAGAGAAAGAATAAGGAGTCTGTTAGGAGAAGTAGATGAAAAAATGATTCTTAAAATAAAAATAATTTATTTTAGAATAAAATATAACTAATTTGGTAGGGATGCTCTATATCTACATAGCATTATTCTTAAATAATAATAATTATATTAGGGCAAATTACATATACCCCTCGAGGTTTAAAAAAATTACAAATATCTCCCAGAGATTTGAGAAATTACAGATACCCCTTAAAGATACTATTTGCATAACAAATTAGGGGGCAGATTGTTATGAAAATATAAATTTCATGGAACAATTTGTTATGAAAATATAAATTTTAGAAATATTTGTAATTTCTAAAACCTCAAAAAAATATCTGTAATTTAGCTAAAACTCAAGGGAGGCACATATAATTTGCCCTAATAATTATTATTATTATTATAGTGCAACTACAATTATCTGCTTAGCTGAACGCGCACAGAAAGATATACAAATAAATAAATACTCATTTATTCGAGCTGTACATACACGACGGTACACACAAGCCAGTATACTCGCTACCAACCACTGACACGTACCCCAACAACAACAAACCCTCCTACATTTACTGTGATATTCACACGCGCGTACGAGAAAACGACAACGGCTGAACACATTGACAAAAATGTCCCCCAGAAGTTCCATTAATTACATTAAGACTACTACGGTCATATCCGGCGGCGGTTACACAGTTCGCCGTCATGAACAAAGAATTTTAAGTGCTTTATCTACTTTTTATTTTTATTTTATCTCTTTTTTTTCCCAAAAAAAAATTAATGAATCTATAATTAAAACAATAAATACTTAGATAATTTTATTTGCTCATTACACTTTGTCTAGTATAATGTTCATATATTTACTTTCAAACAAAATATAAATATTCAGATATTAACTATTGAGCAGAATTTTTGTTTGAATAATTAATTTTTGTAAAAATTGATTAAATTATATTGTAGATTTGTTTTTAGAAAAAAAAAAAAGAAAAAAGAAAAAGTGAAATTACCTTATTGCCATTGGGGACGAGTTCCTGAAGAGATTTCATTCTCTCTGCGATTCTCTCTCTCCGTAGCTGCCAACCCACAAACCCAACACACAAAACAAAACCCATTTCAGAAAACACAAACATAAAAGACAAAAACAGATGATGAAGAAGAAGAGCCTACTCTTTCAGCGATACTGTGAGGGTCAGTGGCCTGACCTCTCCTAGCCCTCACTCTCTGTCTCGGCTGTCCCGCTGCTCCTCCTCCCGCCGCCCCACTAGCCGCCGCTGCCTGGTTAATCACCGGCGACGCGGCTCCGAAGTTCTACACCCAGTAAAACAACCACCCATATTAGCTCCTAATCATCATCACATAAATCTATATATATAAATATATATATCACAGTGTCACTGACCTGAGGATGGTGGAATTGCTGAGCTTGATTCGAGGTCTGACCAGTACTATGCAGAGATCCAGCGAATCCATTGTACAGAGCTTGAATTGAACCATCACAACCCTGTAATTTTCGCCATTGTTGATCACTGTTGCATGTATGGAATCGTAGAATTTCACTGTTTCTCGAAGAGGACTCACCAAATTGGGAGGTTTGAAGGAAGAAAACGGACTGATCTGGTGTTGCTGGAGCTTCGAGGCCAGTGCCTCAGACTGATCATGGTCGAAATGGAACTGATCCTGATCGTCCGATGAGGCCATGTCTAAGGATTTGTGAGAGCCCATCATTGTTGCAGACATGGTGTTCGACGAAATGTCCCAGAGGGATTTTGGGTTTGCTCCGGCGAGGTCGGGCCACGAACACGAGGGTACAGTGGAGAGCATTTGATGGAGGAAATCTTCGTCAGAGGAATTGGGATCCAAGTGTTGAATCTGGGTGTTGACGATCTGACCATTTTGGAGGTCTTGGAGAGACATTTGGGTTTGGTTTAAGATTGAATTCATTGCTTGCATTTCTCTGCTACAAGGCTGCATAACTTCAAAAACTCAAAAAGCAAAAACAATACAAAAAAAGTTAGCCCATATGTATACATATATAGTGTTATTGTAGAGAAAGAAAGTGAAGGAGGAGAAGATCACTTCATGGCATACCTGAGTTTTGGTTTGTAGTGAGAGAAATATGAAGAGTCTCTTTCTCTTTTCTTCTTCGACTTTCGTCAATTATAATGACTTATAGAGAGAGAGAGAGAGAACCAACATCATCAATACATCATATGTCTTTGTTTTCGAATGTTTATAAGAGCTCTCTTTCTCTCTCTTCGAGTGATAAAATATCAAAATGCTTTGATAATAATCTGATTTCAATTGCTAAAAACACTCCCCCTTTTTCTCTCTCTAAAACTAAATTTTCTCTCTCATGAAACGTGGGCCTATGTTATTGGATAATCTGAGTTCAACATAATAGTAACATTCCATTCTCTTCGTTGAGTGGAGCTTGAATGGCAAGTTTTCGTTGTGTCGTGTGAATTTGCCTTGTTTTGTGTTTTGGTGATCGACTTGTCTCTGATTCTTTTTTTGTCTTCAATATTAAATCGGTCCAATCTACGTTTGTGAATTTATGGAAAATGTCTCGTAGCTCAAATTTTGTGACTCAAAAGTGGCTCAAATGGCCAAAACGACGTCGTTTTGGCCATATTTATGTTGTTCTATAATCTGAGTTCAACATAATAGTAACATTCCATTCTCTTCGTTGAGTGGAGCTTGAATGGCAAGTTTTCGTTGTGTCGTGTGAATTTGCCTTGTTTTGTGTTTTGGTGATCGACTTGTCTCTAATTCTTTTTTTGTCTTCAATATTAAATCGGTCCAATCTACGTTTGTGAATTTATTATGGATCATATTTAATTCATTATGATATTGTGTGAATTAAACTGATCCAATGTAAGTTTGTTGATTCATTATGAGATATTTTAACAATTTTGTCAGTTAATTTTTTGCGATTCCATATGTATCGATTCTTGTATTTCACCACAGTAATTTTTTCAGAAAATAGACAACAAAAATATAATTTTAAAAAGAGTAACGTTACGTGTTCATATTTTAGACTTACAAATTCATTTATAATGATGTGACAATGAAAGTAGGCCTTATATCATTAGGTGTGTAACTAATGTAAAATGAACGCTTATCATGCTATCTTACTATAAGTCAAATTATGAGAGTTTTTGTGCGTGTCAAATATTTTTTTTAATTTAATAAATTAATTAATTTTTTTAATTTATTTTATTTTTAGATGAACTACAAATGGAAGCCTAAAGAATTATAAGATTGAAGCATCAAGTGGCAATCGTAGTGGACTTACAAGTTCGAATTGAACCGTTCAATCATCTTAATAGAGTAGACAAAAGTTGCTTTCTAGATTCAAAGGGAAATTGGGGATCCTGTTGTGTCTTGGGGCACAAGAGACCGTTATGAGACCTTGTGAAGATTTGTTTTGAGCTTCTTTCAATAATCCTAACCGTTTATATTTTATGATTCGTTGAGTAAATCATTCATTAATTTATTTTTTAAATAATTAATTTTTGAAATTTATTTTATTTTTGAAATTTGTTTTATTTCTAGAAGAACTACATACGTATGAAAGCCTAAAGAATTATAAGATTGGAGCATCAAAGTGACAATCATAGTGGACTTACAAGTCCGAATTGAACCGTTCAATCATCTTAATAGAATAGACGGAAGTTGCTTTCTATATTCGAATGGAAATTGGGTGCTGTGTCTTGGGACACAAAAGGCTGCTATGGGGCCTTGTGGAGATTTGTTCCGAGTTTCTTTCGATAATTTGAACGGTTCAAATGGTAAGATTTGTTGAGTAGATTATTTATACAAAAAATTAAATTGATTGGATGTCTGCCGTCCCTATAAAACTTCTATTTTTTTTAAAAAAATTAACAATTAACATAATTTTAATAGTTTTTTTTTTTAAACAATTAGGACCTGATCATTTGATTAAGAATGTCTGATTAAATTAATTTTTCAAATGGATAATATTCTCGACGAACTCTATAATATGAGTAATTCAAATTATCAAAAAAAATCCTATATCGACTTTCATTATGAGTCAGAACAGGGCACAGTTCCAATCCCAAATTCATTAAAAGAGTATCACATTTGCACCTTTAATGCATGGATCGTTTCTCACTTGATCCTTCAAAAAGAATATTCTTTTGGCAGTAAGCTATTTGTTACTTCTCACTTCAAATCAATTACCAATTCCGGTCATAGTTAAGAGGTAGTTTTAAGATTCAAAAAATCCACAATAATAGATAGTTTTAATTTTGAAATTTTAAAAGAACTCTAATGATATAGCAAATAAATAAATAAATAAAAACATATGCGAACACATCACATCACATGTGGATTTCACTTTTCACTACATCACTAGAACTCTATTTAGGTTTCGTTTGGGAACATACTTTTTTTAGTAATTTTTTGACTTTTTGGTTAATATATGATGTAAAAAAAACTAATATGTTTGGGATGACTTTTTGACTTTTTAAGAAAAGATGTGCAAAAAGTTGAGAGAAAATAGAATCTTTGACCTTTTGATATGAGTTGTTGGCTTTTTGATTTTTTTAGTATTTTTTTAACTTTTTTGCTAAAAAAGACACTTGCCAAATGAGGCCTTAGAATCTCAAAATTAGAGTTTTCAATCTTTATTCTTTAAATAATCAAGTTTCTTAGTTTGATCGCTAAAAAATTAAAATTTTTATTTTACTCTCTAAAAAAAAAAATAACTTTTCAACTTTGTTTCAAATCCAAACCCACACAAGGTCATGAGGGTGACGAGTGGTAGTAGTCAACAGTGGACGGCGGACGAGGGAAGAGAATGTGATGGGTTATGAGTGTCGGTAGTGGTATATATTGGAGTGTAGGAAGGGAAGGGAATGGGACATAAGAAGTGATGTGTAGCGATGGTTTACGGTAAGAGTAATATTAGAAATTTTAAATATTTATTAAATATTTTATATGGGTGTAAAATTTATATGAGACTCACATAATATAAATCTCACATTTAGGAGAATACCCCAGATCCCAGTGGGGTGACCCCCACCACCCCCACTAGTTTTTGATTGGTTCAATTTTTTTTTTTCTTCAATCTTCCTCTCACAACGAGACATATGTGGAGTAGGGGTGCTGGGGTCATCCCATTGGGAGTCCCAGCACTATTGCTCATAGCTATATAAGACATTTAATAAAATATTTAGAATTACGGTAAAAACAAGAGATGTGTTGGCTGCAAAATTAAACCAACCAATAGAAGGAAGACATGTACCAGGCCACTGCTTTATGGGCAAGAGCCAAAGGACAGATGTAAGAAAGTTTAAGAGATAGTTTAGCATTGAAATCCACGTATGAAGAGGTGATGACGTTATCCATGGTAATTCAATTCAAATGATGAAGTAAAGCACTTCTCAAATTAGCATAGTGGAGGATATACAAGGCAATTGTTGCTTCTTTTGAGGCCTGAACAAATCATCAAACACAACATATTATTTAACTTTGGGTAAATTACATTTACCTCCCCTGAGGTTTCTGACAAATACAGGGACTTTTCCTGTGGTTTGAATAATTACAGTAACCTCCCCTACTTTACCTAACAATATCAAGATTCCCCCCTGCTGTCAAAAATCGCTAAACGGTGTCACTTTTTCCTTCAAAAATTACTTTATTGCCCTTCCCTTTAAAAATATTAAAAAATGTTTTTGGATTGGAGGATAAGTTTAGAGTGTTTGGAACAGTATTTTTAGATTTATTTTTTAAAAATATTAAAAAATGTTTTAAAAAAAATTATTTTTTATTTTAAATATATAATTTTTATTTAAATATTTTATTTTATTTTGTAAATATTTTAATTTTAATATTTGAAACTCAAAACACAACCCCACACTCAAATCGTAACCAAACACATAACTCAAAACTCAATTCAAAAATTATTTTCAAAACTTATATTCAAACACATAATTCGAAATTTTACACTACTTTCAAAACTCTACACTCAAATCGTAACCAAATACATAACTAAAAATTCAATTCAAAAACTATTTTCAAAACTCATAATCGAACACATAATTCGAAATTCTACGCTACTTTCAAAACTCCGCACTCAAATCACAACCAAACACATAACTCAAAATTCAATTCAAAAATTATTTTCAAAACTTATATTCAAACACATAATTCGAAATTTTACACTACTTTCAAAACTCTACACTCAAATCGTAACCAAATACATAACTAAAAATTCAATTCAAAAACTATTTTCAAAACTCATAATCGAACACATAATTCGAAATTCTACGCTACTTTCAAAACTCCGCACTCAAATCACAACCAAACACATAACTCAAAATTCAATTCAAAAATTATTTTCAAAACTTATATTCAAACACATAATTCGAAATTTTACACTACTTTCAAAACTCTACACTCAAATCGTAACCAAATACATAACTAAAAATTCAATTCAAAAACTATTTTCAAAACTCATAATCGAACACATAATTCGAAATTCTACGCTACTTTCAAAACTCCGCACTCAAATCACAACCAAACACATAACTCAAAATTCAATTCAAAAATTATTTTCAAAACTTATATTCAAACACATAATTCGAAATTTTACACTACTTTCAAAACTCTACACTCAAATCGTAACCAAATACATAACTAAAAATTCAATTCAAAAACTATTTTCAAAACTCATAATCGAACACATAATTCGAAATTCTACGCTACTTTCAAAACTCCGCACTCAAATCACAACCAAACACATAACTCAAAATTCAATTCAAAAATTATTTTCAAAACTTATATTCAAACACATAATTCGAAATTTTACACTACTTTCAAAACTCTACACTCAAATCGTAACCAAATACATAACTAAAAATAGGGCGGACGAGGGAAGAGAATGTGATGGGTTATGAGTGTCGGTAGTGGTATATATTAGAGTGTAGGAAGGGAAGGGAAGGGAATGGGACATAAGAAGTGATGTGTAGCGATGGTTTACGGTAAGAGTAATATTAGAAATTTTAAATATTTATTAAGTATTTTATATGGGTGTAAAATTTATATGAGACTCATATAATATAAATCTCACATTTAGGAGAATACCCCAGACCCCAGTGGGGTGACCCCATCACCCCCACTAATTTTTGATTGGTTCAATTTTTTTTTTTCTTCAATCTTCCTCTCACAACGAGACATGTGGAGTAGGGGTGCTGGGGTGACCCTCATTGGAAGTCCCA